TTCTATAAAATCTGGAATTAAAGGTAAAGCTCTGTAGATCCGCGCCAAAGGGGTTATTTTCCATGTTGCGGCAGTATGCATAAGAAGCGAGAGAGTAGTGCAATAATTTTGATGTAAAGTGAAAGATATTTTATTACACATTCGACACGTCAGGACAATAAAATGTATCAAAACATTTTTTTTTTATTTCAGAGAGAAAAAGTAATTTCAATTAGGCTTTTTATAGTAATTTAATTTATTAGACGAGATGTTCTTACTGTAGTAATTCACGTTATCTTAATGGTAATGCGGAATTGGAATGACCAATAATAAACAGATAGGCAATCAGTACGACATTTCTTATAAATAGATACAATCGAGTAAACTCGCCTTAGGTATCGAAATAACAATTTAGAAAATCGAAAATAGCATTTTCGAATACTGTGTAATTAAAGAAACAAAAATATTTATTCACTTTGAATAACAGCGGGCAATAGTAACAATAATTAACTTTCGAATTATTGAATATTGTATTTTTGTGTAATTCAGACGTAGAGGTGTTGTCGGTGTATCTGCAGACCTTTCATCGGTCAGGGTTAATTATGAATAGCATTTAAAGAAACATTTATGTCTGCCTCATCAACCAAATCAGCTGTTGTAGCTGGATAGAATATTTTAAATAATATAAATCGACACTTAGTAGACATTAAAGAAAGTTAAGGAGAAGAGAAAGCGAAGTTTCTGCTCCACTACACTTACTTAAATTTTTAAATGAGCATTTCTCAGAAACATTACTAGGGCCATAAGCAACCAATAGGATGTTTGTGACACCCTAACATTCCTTGAAAGTGTAAAGTGTGTGAATAGATAAACGGCAATATTATCTATATTATCTATGGAAAATAAATCATGGACACATGTGGCGCCTAAAAAAGTTTTGCCGCAATTATTTATAATTTTTCTTTAGATTACTACTTTCTCTATTTACCAATAACGAGTTCAAACACGAATTTAAGGTTTCAAGACAGCAAAGACCTAAAAGAATCTAATGTTTACCAATTATGAGTTTGTATGAATTTTAAATCTGATGATGGCGCTCTTGTCTCGCCGAAACGTTATGAAATAAGCTATATACACATTTTTATTTCACATCTTGACTGAAACTCAGGAAGGAAAATAATATAGTAACAATTACAAGAAGTCAGAAAAATAAATGAAACTAATAACAAGTAAGTAGTAATTTAAAGTTTGTTAAAAATATTTTCAACCCAGAGCTTTCAAAATTGCAAGGAATTGAAAATTAAATTAAATTGGGCATTTAACTCAATTGGTAGCTTAAAACAAATTTTCTATATTAAAAACACTTCACAGCAAGGAAGTGGTCGAAAGTACTGCTTACTTGTTCACTAAACTGTTTATTTAAAAAATCATCATTTTTATAAGCGTTATTTGTAAGTAATGGAAACTTTGATTCAGTGATTCTAGGATTTGCTGCGTATTCAGTCGTGAAGAAACGACTTTGACTTTCATCAAATACGTACACAATTTACGTATTGAAACGTATGAATATGAAAAATAGGTCGATCGCAATTATCTTTGGACCGCAAAGTTGCGGCAGCCGATTTTATAACTAAAAGCTCAAGTCTCAAAAGACAGTTTGGAAACAGATTGCAAAATGCAGCCTAAAAACCGATTTAATATTCCATTATTCTAATTAGAGAAAAGTTCTATTTTACCTTCTATTGAATCAAAATCCTCTTAACACATTTGATAAATAAATTGTACTCTGACATATACAGGGTGTCAATTTGAAAACTTCCCACCCTTAAAATCTTTCTTGCAAAAGAAAATATAAAAAATAGGAAAAACCCGTCAAATTTATTTGTAAGTGGGACAATTCTACTGTTAAAATCGTTGAATAACAGGAAGAAAATATAGTTTAAACATTGACTTCTCATTCTTGATTTTGATCTTATTTCTTATATATACATCGACAAAAATACCTTTTTATTTGCGGAAGATTGATTTTCACGATAAAACCGAACTATCTTATAAGCGGTTCAAGTTTTGTCAATATTTCTGTAATGGATTTAAGATGTCCCCAAAGAAAGAAGTCTAAGAGTGTTCAATCCTGTGATCTTGGAGGCCCTTTAATTGGTCCCCTTCTGCCAATCGATCTATCCGGGAATATCATCAATGTTACGGAGGGTTTGAAAATAGATTTTATTATTGTTTACAGAAAAATAGGCAACATTTTGAACAACTTATGAGATAGTGCGTAAGTAGATCCCACGGGTTTTATTGTAGAAATTTCATTTCTCTTCCGTAAATAAAAAGTGATTGTTCACGAAGTAAAATAATCAATAAATCCGAAATAAATTGTTTAAACTAGATTTTCTTCCTGTTATTCAACGATTTTAACGGTGTAACCGAATCTTCTAATCATTTGTACTCATAAGGAGACCCAATGATTGGTTAAACACTAATCTCAAAACCAAAATCTCAATGCAGGCAAGTTTAATTGTTTCTGTAATTTTGAAACGCGAATTATGAATCAACACCGTAATGAACTGTTTTTAAAAAAGACAATTTTATTCAGAGCAACTGATACAAAGATCTGACCACGACAAAGGTCTCGAACAGAATCTTAAAGCTAAGCCATGCAACTGCGAAGGTAAACAATAAAAGCAGAATCAGCAAATACATAAGTAGTGAGGTTGCAACTGACTAAGCTAAGATATACAAGAGGTGTACAAAAGTAGTGCATATAACTCTCGAATATTCGAAAACCTCTGAACAAATTAGTAACTAGTGGTGAGCGACTAGTTTCAGCGCTTTTGTTTACAATTGTAATGGTCAGTATAGACATATAAACTATAGATCAAACTTGGCTCATAAGAAGCTCTAATTTTGTTAAGGGAAAAAGCAAAGGACAGCAAATACAGAAGAACGTGTTGTTATGAATACTAGTTTTCCTTCGACTTTTTTGGAAATTGTATACCTAATTTCTAGTAAATTTTCAAATGCGTTGTGTAATTATGATCCCTTCATAAATTATCTATGCTTGCTTCACTTTCTTTTCCACATACTCTTGGCAAATGCAACTTGTATGAAACATCAATAAAATAAAAAAGGTGCTAACTAGTCTACCAAGGAAAAAAGTTAATTTGTCTTACAACCGAGGAAATAAACTGTTCGATCACTATCGCCTTCGGGAAAAAGATTTTTAAAATTGCTTGTCTGAATCCGTGCTTGGTGCACCTGTCCCGACTGGACTACCTTGGTCATTAATTCTCAGTGCGGGTTAAACGCTGAGGCCAAAGCAGAGGCGGGTTGGATTGTGAGAAGGATTTTCGTTTTTCGACAATTACAATCAACAGGTGAATGAATTAACGTGGTTCGTTTTGCTCAATTGTAAAATTCAAAGCTGATCAAAATGATCAGAATCTCTTCTCTGAACGTTAAACTAGTCATCTGAAATTGTTATTAAGTAATGCTTTTCTTTAATATCATATAATCCTGGTAGTTATTCAACTATTACCACTAGTAAAAAAGTTGCACTCTTAAGCTAATTTATTTCCTTGTCTTTAAGTAAGTAAGTGTGTTTAACAAACAAGTCAAGTCAAGTTTTGACTTTTTTAATTGCTGCATAATTGTAGTTTTTTAGGAATAATTCAGCAGGGCATCTTTACGTTCCAGCAGCGTCATATTGTCGTAGTTATCCTTGTTCGTTGTTTCTATTTTACTAGGATAAACTATTCCATTCATTTTTCAATATATATTATTTCAATATATATATATATATTTCAGATATGCGAAAAGTGATTTTCATTTTGTAAATCTCTCATTTAGAATTTTGGCTTTGCGGGAAGATATTAGCCATAGGGTTGTCCATGCACTCAATAAAGCACTCAAATGGAATTGAAAGGAAAATGCCTCAAGAGTTCAAAGTAGAATTATAGAAAACCCTGAAAAAGTTATATTATCTTGAATATGCAAATGCAAATTACATTGTTTTAAATAATTGGTTAGCACTGAATTCAATCGCTTTGCAATCAATGTTTAAGCTAATTTAAAAAACATGGGAAAATAAGTTATTTTAACTTATGGTGAAAAGAAAGTTGAAAATCTACCTCAATCTTTCTATATTTTTGTTACAAAGTGCCTTGACGTTTTCCGTAATTGAAAATAACAACATCGATAATTAAAGTGAACCCGAACGTGTACGTATATATTTCCTATTTGAAAGAAGCAGAGCTAGTTTTCTCCTTCTTTTCTTTCTCCACCGATAAACGTAGAGAAATCAAGACGCAACTGCATTCCAAATAAGTGGCACCCAATTACGATTATATTGGAGGTCTTAGCCCATGCCATCGATTAAAGTCACTTTTGGAAATCTCCTTTGGCGATACTATCAGATTGTTAAAATATTTTCAGCGTAAATAAGCAAACGAATAGCGCACAAATATGCCACAGGAAGTTTATCAAAAAGAAGTTAAAAAACAAGACCATAATTTTTGGGACTCTATAATTTTATTATACATGGTTAATATCTGTTCGAGGTAAATTACAATACATACAAAAAATACATTTAAAATATTAATTTTAGCGCTAAGATACACTTAGGAACAAACTCTTTGTCGGCTAAGAATTATTTTGAACTAAGTCCCAAAATGATAAATGCGTAGTATTTGAATTTGAGACTTGAGACCATGTTTTTTTTACATTGAACCATGTGGCTATGACGGACATGGTTCAATATAGTTCTTCAGTTTGCTCAATTACAGAGTTATATTAGTTTGGTCTGAGAACTGGGCATGGTACATTTTTATGCACGATTTAGATTTGACTGAAATTTGACGAACTGAAATTAGTATAAATGTGGACATAGTTCAAAATAATTATTAGCCGACGTCTTATAAAAAACTAATTTCAATTTCAAATAATCAAACTTTACATACAATTATTTTCCTTTTACTTACCTTCTGTAATAAGCTGGGAGCCTTTCTTGAATAGCTATTTATGTACCAAGGGCGTTACGGACCTTATAATGCCCTGAGGGCCGAACTAGCCCGAGGGCCTTTGGCCCGAGGGATAGGTTTCGGCCTGATGGGCATTATTATCTCCGTAACGCCTGTGGTGCATACAATGCTTTATGTTTCACCTAATAGCCTTACCATTTAAAAAAAAGTATATTTGTACCGGTTTGACGTAATTTGTTAATTTCTGATTTTAATCTGACGTGACTTTGACTCCTGTCAATGAGCAGTAATTTATTGCATAAAATGGAAGAAATTCCAGAAAATATTATAAAAAACGCTGCAAAAGCTACGGAAGATTTGTTGCCGATAAAGTCAAGGGAATATTATGATAGAGAGTATGGCATATTTATTATTTGGAAGGATAAAAATGCCATTGCCATCATTAATGAGACTATTT